CCTCAAATATGCTGATGGTCCTCACTGGGCCTAGTCTGGTGAGCAGTGCTGGAAAACGTGGATTCAGCTTCTGACAACATTCAATCAATACAAACACTGTTCCAGCCTGTTAGCAGTGTTATTTGTTCTGTAGTAACAGATGCCAGAATGTGTCCCTTATGCAATATGAGTAAGAAAAATCCTTTAAATTTACAGAGAAGTTAGATTTAACAAGACAAAAGCTTTACTGTATTTTATTAATTTACCTCTTACATTTCATTTACCCATTAAATTTTCTTAAATAAAAACTGACACTGGTACATAATTTTTGTCACTTTCATTAATATCTTGCAATACATATCAGTCAGCTTGCTATTTTTACATATAGAGTAACCTTTCCTACTCAGAAAAAAACCCCTGCTCTTGTAAAGGCCTGAGGCTCTGCCATATCAGTCTTCATTGCTATTAAATAAGAAGAGTGAGAGAACTACTTATTTCCTTCCCCAAATATTTTTTCTGCACTGATGTATTTGTAAATTTCTTTATAATCCCCCATTTCCTTTGTTAGCCCAAAGCAATTAAACTAATCCATCCTCTGTGAACCTCAGCTGACTCACAGTGTCCTTGGGTGTCTTTAAATTTATATTTTTTGACACTTTTTCTTAATTTCAGGTCTTCAAATCTACATGTGAAGCTTACTGTTTTCCACAGCAGTTGTCAGTCATCCTTCACCTGTAGTATTTCTGGCTTGTGCAGCCACCTCATACACCGAAGAAATCTTGGTTCCTATGAGATTAGAATTCACGTCCTCCTCCCTCTAAATCCATTCTCTACAGTGACTAATTTAAGTAGCATTTGTGCACAAGTTCCAGTTTCTCCCTCAGTAAGAAATATTACAATCGGAGCAGGGGTTTTCTCTATGGTACAACAAGAATGGTCATGGTTTATTAGAGCACTCAGGATATGGCCTTGCTGCCTCTACGGAAGACAAGTGGAAGGGTAAACTCCTTGCATCTTTCCTGAACAAGGCATAAATCTGTTCTGCACTTTTGTCTTTTTACGTGAGAAAAACCTTGGACCTTTGCATGCCGCCTAGCAGGCATCTTCTACTGTTTTGTTGTGACACTGAGCCGCACATTCAATTCCCGCTATTTTGTCTACAAAGGTGTTGGATGAATGGTTTCATTTTGAGAGTGTGTGTTAACTTGGGAGTGCTCCCACAAATATGCTATAAAGTATTCCACATTGTAGCTCCACTCTCCCAAGTCCAATCTGGGCAAAACAGAAGCCCCAAAACCCCAATCCCGTCAAATATTTTTATATTTCAAAAATATAACAATCCTACGTTCTGGTGTTTGCTCCTGGGGTTGCCTGTATGTATATCCAGCTTCTGCCTTATCAAAAATACAAATGTAGCCATAGAATCACAGAATCATTTAAGTTGGAAAAGACCTTTAAGATCATCAAGTCCAACTTATTACCAGTCACACGAAGATGATCCTCAAAGTGAACAGGGTGTGCTTCCAGAGAGCTGTGTGTGTGCAGGAGGGACAGCAAGTCCAGCACTGCTGCAGGCAGCAATTTTGAGAGCCACCGGGGTTGCTGAGGAAAGCAGGCGAACGCCAGAAACATGAAGATAATTTCAATGATATATAATGATACAACAGTCAACTATTCATACACAAACCAAACATTGAAACATCTGTGTTGGTATTGCTTTACTGGAATTTGTAAATACTTCATCTGGTGCCATTTCATTAACTAGCAGTTAAAGTTCAGTCAGCATTAACTAAAATATTAAATTTCAGCACATGTTGATGCCCAGTAATTCCTTCAAAAGTGTTTCACAGCTGAGGAATTGCCACTTTTCTTAAAACTGTCATCTTCTTGGCCAAATCCTATACTTATTTACAGACCTGCTAGCACATGAATTACGTTCACTACCCTTACTTTCATCTGTGTAAGTCAAAGTGTATGGTTTTGGTCCAACACCTTGCAAAGTTCCTGCTTTGACAGTATTTACTGTGATAATTTACAATTCTGTCAATTTCTGCACTTTGCAATTTAGCTACTACCCATCTATTCTGGTAGTGGTTTGAAGTGTTTCTCCTCTCAGATGAAAAATTGTAGTATAGACCTTGGCTACTGCTAGCAGCTGCACAGAGACAGCTGAATATTTTATCAGCCAGGCATCTACTTGCAATAACTGCACTCTTATTCACATTCTAGGTTTACTTGTGCACTGTTTGTATGCAATAAAAAAGTCAACAAACTTTAAACACATTTAGGAAAAAGACATAGATATTACGCAAGCAGTAGAGCCAAGTCTAGGCTTATTTCCATTTTCCATAATTGTTCCAAAAATAGAACAAAAATTTGAAGAACTCAGAATTTTACACTACCAATTAAGATGATCGTGCCATTTCAAAATCCTCTTCAAATACTTCCTTTAGGCTGCATGCTTACAAATCCACAAAACAGAAAGCTGCCATCACACTTTGCAAATAGAAAAATGCATTTGCATTTTAAACCAACAACAAAATCTCTACTTGCAGCCATCTCCTCTTCAAAAGCTTTGCATATAAAATAGTTATAACTCTCACAGGTGTAGAAATCAACTATTGTTTCTGATCAACAAGTCTGCCATAGTGGTCAATCTAAATGGGAAAAGAACAGTTCTGCTGCTGGTAATAAGTGGAGTAAGATACCCACTCTTCCTTTTGCAATGTGGGAGGAAAGAGAGAGACCTTATTTGTAAGGTGTTTTGACACCTACTCACATCTAGGTATTGTCATAGTTACAGATTTCAACACTGTATAAACTAATCAAAATTAACATTTTCTAACACTTCATTTGCAATTATAAGACAGGACATCCATTCATCTGTTAATATTTACAGCCTTCAAAAGGAGAAACAAAAGACAACTATATTGTACCGAATTTTAGGGAAAAGTCACATATTGTTAACCAGGTGTGATCATATCTATTACCAGTGGCTTTTACCTCAAGGAGTGGACAAATGGGTTGAAATTATTAAAAAACAAAATTAAGAAGACTGACAGAGCAACACGTGTGAAGGTGATGAGGCACTGCAACAGGTTGCCCAGGGAAGCTGTGGATGTCCCATCCCTGGAAGTGTTCAAGGCCAGGCTGGACAAAGATCTGAGCAAACTGGCCTGGTGGAAGGTTCACTGCCCATGGCAGGGGGTTGATGATCTTTAAGGTCCCTTCCAACCCAAACCATTCTGTGATTCTGTGAAAACCAGTATAACATTTTTAAACTCATGAATCTCAAATCAGTAAGCATTCAGTATCAAACCCCCAGACTGTAAAAAGGATATCTTTCAAAAGGATACCATTTAACTGGATGCTTCAGAAGGTTCTGAAAAAATCTTTTAAACAAAACTACTAAGAAATCTGACTGCACATGGAATGAGCATTAAAAGTAATACACAAGAAGCAAATCATGAAGATGGTAAGTTTTCAACTTGACAAATATTAAGAGTAAAGTGCCCTATGGATTTGTACTGAAACTGTTGTTTTACATATTTTTTCATCTGGAAAAAGAGACAATAGTCCACTAGCAGCATCTGTGGATAACAAAAATTTTCAGGACTATTTTCAGGGATAACAAAATTTGTGAAGAATAGCAAGGGCAGAACAAAGAAAGATGAAGGTAGATGATTAACTCAAAATAATCAGTATACCCCAAAGTTTCCTAGGACTGACAGTCATAGGGAAAAGTTTAATGAGGCGTTTATTCAGGGCATTCTGGTAAACAAAACCAAAGCATTCCAACTATACACAGTGCTACAGGAATACATCACTGGTCAGTCTGTCACAGCCAGCAAGGCTTCCTGAGGGAGAAGTCTTGCCTGTAGAACCTGATTTACTTCTACAATAGGATAACCCATCTAACTGATCTAGGAAAGCCAGCAGACATAATCTTTTTCGATTTCAGCAAAGGTTTTGATACTGTCTCTCACAGGATCCTTCTGCACAAAATGTTCAGCACAGCTGAATAACCATGTTATGAGATGGGTGAGCAACTGGCTCATGGTTGAGCACAAAGAGTTACAGTGAATGAGGTGACACCAGGATGGTGCCCTGTCACTAGTGGGGTTCCACAGGGCTCCATCCTCAGCCCAGTTCTCTTTAACACCTTCATTAATGACCTGGACTCCAGACTCAAAGGAATACTAAGTTTGCCAACAACACTAAGTTGGGAGGAGCTGTTAAATCCCTCGAGGGCAGAGAGGCTCTGCAGAGACACCCTAATAAATTAGAGGGCTGGGCAATCACTGACTGCATGAAGTTTAACAAGGGTTGCATCTGGGATAGGGCAACCCCGGCTGTTGTATAGACCAGGGAATGAGGCTGGAGAGCAGCACTGTGAAAAAGGACCTGGGGGTCCTGGTCAATGGTAAGCTGAATATGAGTCAGCAGTGCCCTGGCAGCCAGGAGGGCCAACCGTGTCCTGGGGGGCATCAAGCAAAGCATCACCTGGTCGAGGGGAGGATTGTCCCACTCTGCTCTGCACTGGGGCTGCCTCACCTTGAATATTGTGGCAGTTTTGGGCACCACAGTATAAAAATTACATTAAGGTATTAGAAAGTATCCAAAGAAGGGCAGTGAGAATGATGATGGGCTTTGAGGGGAAGCCTTGAGAGGACCAGCTGAGGTCACTTGGTCTGTTCAGCTTGGAGAGGGGAGACTGAGGGGACTACCCATTGCAGTTACAACTTCCTCCTGAGGGGAAGAGGAAGGGCAGGCACTGTTCTCTTCTCTGGGGTAACCAGTGACAGGACTCTAAGAAATGGCATGAAACTGAAACAGGGGAGGTTTTGGTCACATATCAGAACAGAATAGAACATGCCAAGTTGGAAGAAACCCACAACAGGCTCCCCAGGGAAGTGGTCACAGCACCAAGCCTGCCTGAGTTGAAGAAGTGTTTGGACAGTGCTCTCAGGCACACAGTGTGATTCTTGGGGATGGTCCTGCGCAGGGGCAGGAACTGGACTCGTGACGAGTCCCTTCCAACTCAGCATATTCTATGATTCTATGGTTCACCATACCATACCTAGAGTAGTACTCAAGAAATTACAACATGCAATTGCAAAAGAAGTTAAGATACTCTTCCCTTAAAAAGACCTAATTATATCCATAAGGACATAATTTTTATGTAGCTTTTGGATTTTGCCCTGATTTATCTAAGGTATCATATACCAATGATAGGATATGGAATGAGATGAACTTGTATAGTATATTAGCCTGCAGCGTACGTTCCCACAACGGGGAACATATTGAATTGCAGTATCTGATTGATGATTTTGGCCCTGTAGCTTTCTGAAGCGACTTTCCTGTCTTGCAGCTTTTCCTGTCTGTAGAGGCTGTTTGCACTGCAGAGTGGCATACAAACACGTTTTAAAAATCGTTAATTGTATTATAAAGAAAATCCAGAAACGCTTCATTTATAAACCCCCTCATTTGCATAGCAATCCAAATTATTACTATAAGTTACTGACACTGTACAGCCTAAGGGAAACACTCAGGCAAAACCTGTAGGATGAATCTTATATAAAAACAAATCCAACACCATTTAAGTTATTAAAAAAACCCAACATTTTAATCTTGAAGACTTTTCAAACATTAGTGCAATATGATTGTAGGAAAACATGTTTCTTCTTACAAGGAAGTTAAGTATATCCAATGAGATTTGTATCTTCTTCAAATACAACGTTTGATTTTCCTTGTTCAATTCCTCATTGCCAACATGGCATTTATGTCCCAAATAAGATTCCGTAACTGATCCATGATCTGCTTCAGCTGCTGATTCTTCTGTTTCAGTTTCTGTGGAAAGAGTTTATTATCAGGTTTTTTTGTGATCAATTCAATTAGCGCACTCAAAAAATCAACAAAATTTACAGTGTTATGAAATGCTATATGAACCTCTTCCTCAGTTGCCTGTGAGCACTATTAGTGGGATAATACATCCCCTTAAAAGCACACTCTAAAAATACAAGAAAGCCTCAAAATGTAAGGACCATTGCTAGAGAGTCAATGCTGTTCTCTTCACAGCATTCTTTTTATCAAACACCTGACACCCTCAAATGCTGTAGGCTTGTGGGGATCATTCGCCACTTTTTAAAGTCCAAAAGAGAGCATTATAAGTAGGAAGAAAGAATTCAGGGAACAGGTAAATTTATGTGAATGTATGTTTTGTAACTTGGGTTTGCAGAAAAATGAGGGATTAACAGCAGAAGTTTGAACAAAGCACAAAGTATAGGTGAAACAAATCAAGCTTTTGCAGCCTTTCTGCCTGTGTAGGTCAACTGTGATGCGCTTAGACTCCTGTCTTGAAAAAGGTTCTCCCAAGCATGCTGAATTCTTTAAAATTATATATTTGGTTTTGCAAATTGCAGAAGCATGTGAAGGAAAAGAACAGCAAACTTGCTTTTATTTGGTTGCATAACCAAAACTTAATAATTATGTCTTTACAGAAGAAAGATCTGGGCATTAAGACATCATACAATTTCCTTAACCTTTCACGTTTCACAATAATGCCCATATTTATTGTCTCATTTATTCATTGTCCTGCCCAAATTGAAGCTGTTGAGAACTAAGTTAGGTTGCTGTTAACAATACACAGTATGTTCTCCATTTCATTCTGATTTGACAGAATGTCAGCCTTCTCACATTAGAGATCAAACTACTTATTCATTAAGGAAGTCTGGAGTTCCAAGTAAAGTGAAAGCACAGGAAAGACTTGGTACCATCAAAAGAAAACAAAATGTTTCAGGTTTAACATAACTTTGTTATTGCCATACAAATGGCAATAAATTAAAAGGGGGATTTAGATCAGTAATACAACCAAAGCAACTGCAACAGTGATAAAATGAAGCAATGAAAGAAGTAATGTCCTGAAAATTGTCTCCTGAATTTTGATGCAGACAACACAACAATAGTTTTAAGTTGCCCAGCTGGTCAGCTGGGAAAGAAGTTCAGAGTGAAAAAGGAAGCCCATTCACTTTGGAGCTTTAAAAACAATCTGTAATTAGGTAATGGTAATTACCATTACTATTACAAATTACTATGGTAATTAGGCTTAGATTACATGGGGAACATAGTAAGGGAAATGTTTCTGAACCCAGACTTTGGGGGACACATTTCCTGTAAGAAGAGACAACATTCAGTTCCAGACTCCTGAGAAGGATGAACAGAGGTAGGAATAACACTGAATTTCTAATCAAGCACTTGACAGACTAAAAAGCATTTTAAAGATAACTAGGGGCATTTATCTAATGCTTCTTGTTGTCATTTCCATTTGCTGATCCAAGACTTCACAATACACAGCAGAGATCCAACTCCTAAAGACAAGCGAGAAAACTAAGAATCATGTCATTACCACAGCATCCAAACAAGAGAGTTGTGTCTTCCTACAAAGGTCTCGATGCCTGAGAAAGCACAAGCAGGACGAGATAAACAAGCACGTTCATACCCGTGGCATTTTTAAACATGTTTCTGTTTGCCATCCTCAACATTCAATCTTAAAGAAATCAGTGAATGTTACATCAAAACTACTAGTTTAATGCAAGTTGTCACTCATTGATACTGAGGGCATGCCATTTCAAGATTTTTCAAAACCTTCATCAATAGAAATGAAGGCTGAACAGTCAGTGATGGTCAGACAGAAATAAGAACCACTGACCTCTGATAAGCAGACTGTGTTCTCTCTCCATCCATGCCTAATTGTATTGTTACATACTGTTACTTAGGTAAGCTCACATGAACTTTATGTAAGTTATGCCCAAAAGACTCATTCTGTAAGATTGTTTTCCTTTCCTGTGCAAGCATTATGACACTGTAAATTGCTTGATCTTTATTTGATACTAGACAAGGGAACCTTCAAACTGGATTTCATTTGTTTTCAAAGCATCTGTAAAGACAGGAAGTATAAAACTGTTTCTTTATTTATCTGAAGATAATTTTAGATCTTTGTCTTCAGTGAAGACCTATTTTCTTAGCTCTTCTACGTTTTCTAAAGACAGAAAAACACATCTAAGATGAAGCACCAACCCTGGATTGCTAGGCTGTTGAAAGCATAAAGAGAGGAGAAAAAATCCACTTCAGAGAGCATGGTCTCCTAATTGAAATGCACAGAGTGATCTTTGTTACTGATCTTTGACAGGCAGTGGTTCACACCACAAAGTAATACATAATTAATATGTTCTGCACCACTGGAAGTGTTGGCCTCTGCTTAAGACTTTGCTGAGCCAGTAAGAACATCTCAACCCAGGTCTAACCTTGGAAAGATAGGTGAAATGGCCTTCTTGGGAAATGGGAAAGTTCTGTAAGCAGATTCTGCAGCAATGACAAATTTTCCTTTGAACAGATTGCTTGCAAGTTGTCTCCCACTCTTTCCTCCTTCTATTGAAATGAATTAGTTGAACTCTGGACTGCTTCTCAGGATTAACAGTTGCATGAAACAAGAAAAAGTACTTCATCCCACATAAATGCTACAGCTTCTGACTTTATCTTTTTTAAGATAGCACAGGAAAATTATCTTATATGAGGCGGTCTATAATGAGTTAAAAGACCTAAATTCAAGTTACATCTGACAGGCAAGTTTCTGTTAGTCCCCTTCTGTCAAGAAAGGGATCTGACTGTAAACCAATCCTAAGAGGTCTTCTTTGGTGATACTAATATTCATTAGTTAACTAACTAACTAATTCATTCATTAACTATCCCTTTTGATTGACCCTGCAAGCACTATGGCCAGCAGATGGAGTTGGCAAGGGCTGCACCTCCCAGTAACCAACAAGACCTTAGTAGGCATAGGTCAGGTAAGACGTTTATGAAAACATGTACTGAAGCACAAAACCCACTTAAATTAAATGAGCCATTATGTTGTACTCAAGCCATTTGTTAGAATTCCCTTCTTCAGGCAAAGAAAGTAGTGTAAACACTGTGGAAGAGTGAGATCATATTCCAACTGGTGCCTGCAAAAACATCAACAGTACTTGCCTTTGTTGAACAGGCTCTCCTTCCGTTTAAGAAAAAAAACAAAGAGGGTTTTCCACCTTGAAAATCTTATATGGAAGACCACATCCCTGAATCCTGTGACAACTATAATTTTTACCTACTCTGTTGAAGATCTACAACAGTATAGGCCACAAGGACATCTCAGCGTAATACAACATTAAATATTAATAACACTAGTACCTTTAATTGCATATATCTTGGCAGAATTATAAAAATATGCTTATTTTGGTGATTATGACTCTACTACAGAGAACTTGCATCATGTTCTTTTTCCATGAACATAGAATCATGGAACAGTTTGGGTTAGAAGAGACATTTAATGGTCATCTAGTCCAACCCCCCAGTGAGCATCTTCAACTAGATCAGGTTGCTCAGAGACCCATCCAGCCTGACTGTGAATGTTTTCAGAGATGGGGCATCTACCTCCTCTCTGGACAAGTGTGTCATCACCCTCAGCATAAAAGATTTCTTTCTTATATCTAATCTAAATTGACTTTCTTTTAGTCTATAGCCATTACCCCTTGTCCTATTGCAACAGGCCCTGCTAAAAAGTCTGTGCTCATCTTCCTTGGGAAGCCTTTCAGGCCCCTTTAGGTACTGAAAGGGTGCTATTACTTCTCCATGGAGTCTTCTCTCCTCCTGACTGAAGAGCCCCAACTCTCTGCCTTTCCTCATAGGTGAGGTGCTCCATCCCTCTGATTATTTTTGTGGCTCTTCTCTGGACCTGCTCCAACAGGTCCATATCCTTCCTGTGCTGCAAACCCCAGAGCTGGACACAGAACTCATGTTACTCCTTCTGACCATTAAACTGCTGTAGGAGGTGATTGTTGAAAGTCTTATGAAGGTGACAGTGGCCTCAAAATTTCTACAGAAAAACGTTTGTCCACAGGAAAGTGAAATTTATACTGTTCCTTTTTTAAATGAGTCCTTCTCCTTCCTTTTTTCCTTTGGTTTTATAGTCCAAAAAGACAATATTATATGCATATAGCTGGAAAAAAATATGATAAAAAGAATGTCCTCAACAATTTGCTCAAAGTCTCTTAAAGGTGCCAGGTGATATGCTATGTCTGCTCAACTGCCCATTTTCCATCATAATATCAACCTATGTATAATTTTCTTCCAAAGGGATAAAAAATATTAATCACTAATACAGTAACTGCTGTGCAATTAAACATTACACAGCTTTTCCTGATGTTATGCACAGGCGTAACTGTTCTACCCTTACCAGAAATGAGGCTGGGTTTTCTGCCTTGCTCCTCACCTGACAGCTGAAGGGAAAACTGCTCCTTCTGCACGTGTAACTCTGTGTTCCTGAAACATGCAGAGGCACCAGTGACTGCCTGTGCTCCACTGCATGCTCAGTACTTTTCACCTATTGACCCAGATGGGATTGTACATATCCACCTCTCTGCTGTCAGGGAGGAAGAAGCACGTTTATTCAAGTAGGTGGATGTTTGCTCCATACCAATTATTTATCATTCAACAATGAGGTCTGAGGTCTTATTTACTGAGTACCATCTAGGCTATGTAGCTTGTCATGGAATTATCCATTCCCCTTCGGTGTTACATCCCCATTCTTAACATGAAAATCACACAGATGTATGACCCTCAGTTACAGATGGCAAACTAAGTCACATGATCAGCAGAGATAAAACTGGAGTGCCTACTAACTTTGTCCAGAGACACTTCAGATTCAAGTTCATCACTAAACTTCATGTTTTAACAGCTCCCCACATATTCAAAGCTACCATGAACCATAAGGGGAAGAATGAACAACTGCCACAGAGGTTTTATGGCAGAGAAAAAAA